AAAAAAAAAGTAAAAAAAAAAATTAGTTTATATATATATGGGAGACGAATAACTCTTTGCAAAATAAAATGCTCATATCTATTTACCTTAAGATCCTTTTCGATTTGTTGCTGCCATTGTGGATCCATAGTTACTTCCGGTGGTAGCAGAGCAGGCATGGCGGCAAATTCCAAATTAGCATCACCTATGAGTTTTCTAGCAAGCCAAAGGAATGGTTTTTCAAAATTGTAATTACTTTTAGCACTGATGTCATAGTATTGTAAATTCTTTTTTCTGTTTAAAAAAAAAACAAATTAAATTCAATTTTTTAAATACTTTTTCAATTAATTTGTCACAAGCATTAGAAAAAAAAATTTAAATTATTATTATTACCTGTGGAAAATTATACTTCTTGCTTTCACTTTTCTATCTTTAATGTCAACTTTGTTTCCACACAAAACCATAGGTATATTTTCGCACACTCTCACCAAATCCCTGTGCCAATTAGGGACATTTTTATAAGTGATTCTCGATGTTACATCAAACATAATAATAGCACACTGACCCTGGATATAGTATCTAAAAATAAATTTAAAACAAACATTCAATTCGAGAAATTTTACTCGAGTAAAAGTTAAGGTAACGGAAATGTAATTTTCACGATAAATAAATGATGTTTGTTTGACATTCGATAAATTTTAACATTTAAAACACACAATAAGAGAAATAATAAAATAATTACCCATCTCTAAGTCCACCAAATTTCTCTTGACCTGCAGTATCCCAAACATTGAATCTAATAGCACCTCTATTAGTATGGAATACTAAAGGATGGACTTCTACTCCAAGAGTAGCCACATATTTTTTTTCAAATTCACCAGTCAAATGTCTTTTGACAAAAGTAGTTTTTCCTGTACCACCGTCTCCTACAAGTACGCACTTAAATGTCGGAATATCATGGTCCCCCATTTTGTGTTTAATTTCAAATCTACAATTTTATAAAAACATAAACATAAATGAGTAATATTTATCAAAGGAAAACTCAATTTTAAAATAAACTTTACTATTAAAATTAATTTTATAAAACGTAACGACAACAACAAGCACTAACAATATTATTATTAATAATAAATAAAAGAATAAACTAAATGTATTAGTATTGTGTTAAACCGGTTGTATATAACAGACTGAAAAAAAAAAAAAAAAAACCTTGCATTAGCAGTTCATTCGCATGCTCTAAGATGTAACATTTTGAAAGCGTTAAGTATAATGATGTAATCTGACGAAACGTTTTTATAGGAAATACTATGACTAATGTGTATACATTTTTGTTTAGTATCTCTATAAACCGATGTTATTAATTATTATTTTACTAGATGCAAACACACTAAGAATATAACTCGTTAATTCATGCCAAAATTAAATTAAACAGAACAAAAAATATTAATATAAAATATGAGGTAACCTATATAACAAAACTGTTTTTATAAGGTAAGAAAATATTCCCGCCAAACGCGATTGAAAATCAAACACGCAATAATATCTCTGAACCCAGATAAAAAATGATTTTTATTAACCTTTATTGGCTTTTTAATAAATAATATCTAAGAATAAATCATCATATAAACTATCATTTGAAAAAACAGCTTACATTATTATACGAATAATGATTGATTGAAAGCCGACTTTAAAATAATAATAATATAAAAATACAACACTTACCTTAATAAAACTTAGATAATTAATTTCAACTTATAAAGAATTTCTCACAGAAAGTAAATAAGAAAGTATAAATAATGGATGTAACGGATTTAAAGCGATTTGTAATTGCAACTATAAATGAAAAGTCTTAACAGCCTATAATGGCGTTTTCTTAAAAAGACATTTGTAAATGTTGCCAACCGAAAAAACTTTTATTTTTCAACATCAATATATTTTAATTTAGTCATCGATAATTAATTTTAACTAAATTTTTAATTTAATTATGTAAAAAAAATAATACGAATTGTTATTTTTTTAAGTTTTATTAATTATTTAATAAAAATTTTATTTTTTGCATGGTTTTCAAATATTTTTTTTTACAGTTGGCACCTGTTCATAAATTAGTACTACACTAGTTTTACACAGACACTACAGGATAAAAAAATTATTTTTGTTCGCAATAGATTTACAGAAAGATAAAATATTGTTTTTAATAATTATTTTCGAGTATTTAATATTTAAATAAGTAATTTAAAATATGAATTTCACTTTTTTTTTCACGATTCGTGACACCGAGTATTTTCAGCGCAGTCGTATTTTGCCGTTCGGCATTGCAGAGCTTAGTTCGTGTGTATCGATTTTGGTGATTGCAGTTTCTAAATAATAGTTTTAGTGTACTTTACGGAAAAATTCGTTGATGGAACCTTTTTGTAAATTACAACGAGTTCGGAGAGCGTGATAAGTGGTGCGAAAAAATGACTAAGGACAGATTGGCAGCTTTACAAGCTGTAAGTTCAACTTTTTCTTTATCGCAATCGTACTGACAGAAGCCGCCATTTCATATCGTATCTTAGTATACTAGTGTTAATTTCATAACAAACATTAATTAATGGATAACATCTAAACCACTTTGATTTAATAAATTTTTATTTAATTTAAAATTCGTACTCGTGAAAAAAAATTTTTTTTAAATTTATAAGCCACACCCCCATTTTAATTGCAAAAAAAAAACACCTCATTTACAAGTTATTAGTTTTTTATGCCATATATTTAATTATATTGAAGCCTTTGAAAAAAAAAAAAGGACTAAAACAAAAAGTATTTTTAAATATAATTAAAGTTAAATAAAATAAATCATATTTTAAAATGAAAAGTAACTTAAATGAAATTTTTTAGGTTTTAATTTTGTTCCATTTTTTTCCAAATACTTTGAATTCAATAAAGAATTATTGGAAGTTAAGTAAGTAACCATTATTTGAATGTAACTATTTTTTCAACTAAAATTTATTATTTCAGGCTCAAAGTGATGATGAAGAAGGAGGAAATGATGATGTTCAAGTTAATATGGAGGGGAGAGATGGATTTATGGATGAGTTTTTTTCCGAGGTAATGATTAAAACTTGATTTTATTAAAATTTAATCATTTTACAACAAGGTTAAGAAGTTATGAAATGTGCGACATTTTTATTATTATTATTATTATTGAAAGAATTAGGTCGAAAAAAAAAAAATTTTTTTTTCTATTTTCATCTTTTTTAAAATATTAAATTCCTAATTACATATCCAAAAAAATTAAAATACATCTTGTTATAACTTGAAAATAATATTTTTGTAGATGATTTTGTTTTCACAAGTAATTTCGATTTCTATGCGAATAATTCTGAAAATTTTTCATCTTATTATCAGATGTTATTTCATTGTTTATATAAATCAAAAAGTTTTGTAATAACTTTTGCAAGGTTATTACATAAATAAATAAAATGAAAAAATTTTCTAAAGCTATCTCTGATATAAATTGTTTTTAACATCGATTTACATATTCACAAAAAAATAATAATAATAATTATGCTTCTATTTTTATAGACTTTCTCATTATTTATCTATGATAAAACATCTAAAATTTTAGTCACTTTAGTTTTTTTTTTTTTTTTTTTTATCTCTATGAATTTTACTTATTATATTTAATTTAAATATTCATTTAAAAGTTTTTGATAAGAGAGAGAGAGAGAGAGAAAAATTTTGCCATTTTTTCGGTTTTTCTTTTTTTAAATTTTTTTTTTTTTTTTGATTATCGTTTAACGATCAGTAATTATAATTACAACAATATAAATATTGCATTACAAATTAATAATCAATACATAATAATTTTTATTTTATCTATTTTCTATTATTGATTTTGACAGGGGTTTTTTTTTTTTTATTGTTTTGCCTATTTACTTCCTTTGCATAAAAATATAAGTTTTTTTTTTTTTCAAAATTCGAAAAGAAATTTAATACATTTTTACATGAAATCAATTAATGAACTGTTGTTAAAAAAACTCAAAGGGTTTTGGTTATGTTTTGAATTTTTATCAATATATATATATATATATATATGAAATTTATTGAAATTTAAAAATGGCCAAATTAAATTAAATTTTAAATTAAATATTTAAAAAAAAAAAAAAAAAAATTGGTTATCAAAATCTGCACAAAAATAATGTAAAGGTATTTTCATTATGTTTGCATAATCATAATTTATTTTTCTATTTCAGTGAGTGAATGAATGAATGAATGAATGAATGACCAAAAACCAAAAGTTTTTTTTCTTTATACTTATTTTAACCTAAACCCTGGTAGAATTTTTAAGTAATAGACATTAAAATCATTCGACATGTAAATTTACATTAGAAAAAAAACTAATGTAAAAAATTTATTTAAAAAAAAAAAAAAATAATCCTAAACTCGACTCTTGTTTGGTTTTGTATTCGAATACAATTTTGACATTTTTATAAAAACTTTAATGACTCTCGATAACTTTTTTTTTTTTTTTTTTTTTTTTTTTTATATTATTATAATAATTATACAACTTTTTATTTATTTTTGATTTCATTTATTTTCACTTTCGTGTAAATTAATTTTTTTTTTTCTTAATGAATCTGTTTGAAGGTTTACAACATAGTACCTCATGACAAATAATAAAAAAAATCTGAATCGCTTGAAATACAAAAAAAAAAAAAAAATTAATTATTGGCAAAGTGTTTACACAACACAACACAACACAACCAACCGAAGAGTTGTAGTTTGTACGATAAAAGTCGGAAAATACGAAAAAAAAAAGGAAATCAAAATTGGATGCCCCCATCTCCACTCCCCCCCATTATCATTATTTATTATTTTGATTTTTAGCGTGAAAATCTCTTTTTAAATTTTCCTTTTTTTTAAAACTATTGAAAATACAAAGTTGGGGGAAAAAAAAAAAAACAAAAAAACTTTTTATTTATTTATTTATTTATTTTGAAAAGTTTTTTTTTTTTTTTTTATCGCTTTCCCGTGAAATATATGGTATTATTTATATAAATTAAAAAAAAAAAAAAAAAAAGTTTTTCTCAAATCCTTCATCCATGATCTGATTATCGTATTTTAAACTTGAAATGTTATTAAATATGTTTATAAATTTTAAAAAGCCATTTAATAAAACTGTTTGCAATTGTTGTTTGTCTGTTGTTGTTGTTTGTTGTTGTTGTTGTTAGAATTAAATTAAACGTATTTTCATTTACAACAGTCATTATCAATTTTAATTTTGTCCATAATCTCTGGAAAACATTTTTTTTTTTTTTTTTCATTTGCATTGTACCTGTAATAATATCATTCGTGGAAAAAATTAAGAAAACTATCGTTACGTCACAGGTTACGTCACAGGTTATTACGATTGAAATTTAAAAAAAAAAAAAAAAAATGAAATTTAACGGTTAAATCCACTTTTACGTAGTCAGTTTCAACAGGTTATTTTCAGGTTTTGTATATTGTTTCCCTCCCCCTTCCCCCTTCGTTGGTAAATCGTGGATTATGTTTTATTAATTTTTTTTTAATTGTTTTTTTATTTAGGTGGAGGAAATACGAGAGATGATAGATAAAATTCAAGCTAATGTCGAAGAAGTCAAAAAGAAACATAGTGCAATACTTTCGGCACCTCAAACGGATGAGAGTAAGTGTTTCCATATATATATATTTTCCATTTATTTTTTTTTTTTTTTTTACATAAAAATATCGATATATGTTCTTTAAAAGGAGTCCATATTTCAAAAGCTTAAATCAATATGATGATAATAATAATAATGATAATAAATTGTCCCTCATATATATAATGTAAGTAAATTTACTTTGGGCTTTTTTTTTGTGAAATGGCCCCCCCAAAAAAAAAGATGAAAATTATATATATATATGTATGTATATTTTTGAATATGAATGAAATCAGTAACGTACGTTTGGGGTTGGTTGGTTGGTTAAAAATAATAATAATAAATTTTTGAATGTTTGAACTTCAAATTTTAGAATTTCGTGACTTTTATTATTTTCAACCATGTTGAAATATTGTGGTTGCCGTGGTTACAACTTGGAAAAAAAAAAAGAGAAAAAAAAAAATTGTTAGGGGGCTTAAGCGTTAAGTGTTATTTTTTTATTTTATTTTATTTTATTTTATCATTATTATTATTATTATTATTATTATTATTATTATTATTATTATTATTATTATTATTATTATGTTTTTTTTTTTTTTTTGTCATGAAATTTTAAATATTCATGTAAATTACTTTAAGTCGTTATTTCATTTTTGTCGTCTTATTCGTTTAAAACTGGGTATTATTTTTCTTTCTAATGCGTTCATAGGAAAGGTAAATTTTCCATTTTCCTTTTTTTAGAGTGGCGGCAGAATGTTTTTGTTAAAGCGTTTTTTTTTTTTTTTTTTCTCTCGCCATCAAATATTTTTGTCGAACGTTTTTCCCCTTTTTTGATGATTGTGTATAAAAAATACGTCTGGCCGTTTTAATAATAATTGCGGCTCCAAAAACTTTATTATTGCATTATTTCGAGGTTTATTGGGGCATAAAAATACCATTCATTGTTTTTTTAAATTAAATTAAATTGTCGTTCGAACTCTCTCTCTCTGGGACTCTGGTTCCCTTAATTAGGAAGCTTCAGAAAAAACAACAACAACAACAACAACGTAGTAATAACATTGTGAAATTTTTAGTTTGGTTCATTAAGGCTTTTGCATTTGTCGTCTTGACTTCATTTCTGTGCATATTTTCTTAAACGTATGACGATGATGACGATGATGATGATGATGATGATGATGATGATGATGATGATGATGATGATGAGGAAAAACGTGAATAAAAAATTATTAAAAAAAAAAATTATTTGACGAGTGAAGAAAACCGTTGTAACAAAACCTAGTTTTTTTTTTTTTTTAACGTTATAGAATATTGTATTACGGAAAATTAATCGTTCAAGAGACTTGGGATTGTGTGTGATTTCATTTTATGGGAACCCAAAGAAATTTTCCTGGGATTTTATTACCCTAATAGTAGTGGCGGTGGTGGTGGTGGCGGTGGTGGTGGTAGTAATTTGTCTTCTTTCACTTTTGAGCTTATCTACTAAAACTTTTTTTTTTTTTTTTTTTTCCCCCCATGAAAATATTCCTTATGTGTGGAGTCTTAAGAATTTTATGGGGTGATTTACGAGAAACGAAATTAAAATTTTAACTTTCATGAGTATATATGATTTTCGTTCGTACGGAATAAAATTCTCTCGTTGAGTTTGTTTTTTTTTTATTAACTGGATTCGATGTTATTTGTCGTAGTATGCTCTCTGAATCAACTTAAAACGCAATAAAAGAGTTTTTTCCAAAGAGAAATAGAAGGGGGGGGAATTGTCAGTAGTAGTAGTAGTAGTAATAAAGGTGTGCGAAAGGATAAGATTGATGACGAAGAAGATTTCATTCGTTTATTGTTTTATTTGCTTAATAAATACTTTATTGTCCCGGAGGCAAAAAAAAAAAATATCCTGGAAGATTAAAAATATAAAAAAACAAAAGAAAAAGGAAAATATCGGTCAAGAGACTAAGGGTGCGGGGGTCACGGGGGGGTACATTTAAAAAAATTTTTGTTATAATCCAACGGTTTAGGAAAAAGCTCCGTGGTGGTAGGTAAGCTTAGGGGAGACTCAAATGTAAAAAAAAACCTTTTTTTTCATTATTACTATTATTATTATTTTCCTTCATTTTTTTTTTGTATTTTATTTTTTTTAACGGTTTCAATATCGAAAATAAGAATGAATTTTCATTTTTTCCTTCCACCCCTCTCCTCTCCCCCCATGTACTCATATTAATTGATGTTTTGTTGTAAGTAAAGGCACTGCATAGAGTTTCTTTTTTTTTTTTCTTTTTTCTTCTATGGAACATGTAATAATAATATTATTATTATCGCGTATTTGTCGAGTATGTGTAACAAAAGAGATTAAAATAATAAGTTAACGATGAATGGGGGAGGGGTGGGGGTGGTTTGATGATGGTGTGTAAACATTGTGAGGATTATGATTGCATTTTTATAAAAAAAAATTTTGAAATTTTTATTGTTTAACGTTTGGTTGTTAGAACGAATGATGATGAAATGATAAAAATTAATAATTTTATTTATTTATTTATTTATTTATTTAAATAAATAAAAATGTCACTCTCGAGCGAGTCATTAAACCGGCATTTTTTATTATTATTTATTTTCCGTCGTTTTGTATTTCTTTAACGAAACCAACGAAAAGAACGAATGGAAAATTCTATATTTGTATGGCAAAACGTTTTATAAAAAGGAAAAATCAATTTTTTCAAGTGCGCCACGTCGGCTCGAGCCCCCCTCAACAAATAAAAAAAAAAATATATGTATATATATGTACATTGTTTGTAAATTAATTTTATTTAAATAGCGCGCGCGCCCCCCCCTCGCCCCATAAATATTTTATATTTCTATTGCTTAATAATTTATTTTCAAATTGATACATTTTTCGTATTGATTTTTTTTTCGTTTTTATTTTATTTATTTTAAAAGAAAGAATCGTTGACGAAAATTTCAATTAAATAGAAAGGGGGGGAGGGGGAGGAGGGAAAAAAATAATAATAATAAAATAAAAGAGTCGATCGAAACTAGTTTGTCGTCGTCGTCTGGTTTGCCGGGGAGGGTGGAAAAAAAAACACGTCATGAGAAAAATACTCGTCACGAGGACGTTAAAATGAGAGGGGAAAAAAAAGGAAAATTTTTAGAGGGTGGGGAGGGGGGAAATACATAAAATCTAAGTCGACGCGTTTTTTTTTTTTTTGCACGCATTTGTTTAAGAACAAAAAGAAAAGCGCACACACGTAAGGGAAATTTATTAAAATTTTCCCGTATAAAAAAAAAAAAAAAAAAAAAAAAAATATTTAAAAAACTTTTCTAAATCGGATCCCGTTACTTTTTAATTTAGAGTCGGAAAATTTTTTTTTTGGAACCTTTTTAATTTTTTTTTCCACGCTCTCTCTCCCTCTCCCCCCCCCCCCATTCTTCGGAAAAAGTACCTTGAAAGCAAATAATATTAATTATAAAAAAAAATAAAAATGATTTTGTTGGTTTTTTTACCTAATATTGACCGGTCAAATTCGCACGAGGAGCGAAAATGAATGAGAGAGAGAAAGAGAGAAAGGAAGAGAAAGAGAGAGAGAGAGAGAGAGAGAGAGACCGGCATTGGAATCCGGGGAGCAAGTTAATGCCGACAGCCTACATTAAAATGACTTTACCGTGATCAATATCCCTGCGACTGAGCTCAGACTCAGCGACGCTGTAGATTTCGGTCAATTTCTGACGATTGCTATTTGCAGTGAATTCTTTTCTCTCTCTCTCTCTTTCTCTCTCTTTTATTTTCATTTTCATTTTTGCACTAAACTTATGCCCCATCATTTTTGTAATTTTTTTTTTTTTTTTTTTTTTTTTTTTTTTTGGGGGAGAAAGAAAGAAAGGAAGGAAGGAAGGAAGGAAAACGCATTGAAAAAAATGTTGTCGTGCGTTGTTGTTGTTGTTACTGTTGTTGGCACTGGGGGAAAATTTTTTTTCCCCGAATTTGAAATTCGACTTTGATTACATATTATTATTATTATTATATAATTTTGTCCTTAGGGAAAAGGAAAAGCTTTTTTTTTTAAATAGAAATTAACGCGGAATATTTTTGAAAATGATGTCGAGAAAAAAGAAAAAAAAAATTTATTATTTTGCGAGATATTTTTTTTTTTTTTATGATAAAATTTTTGAATTTCGTTTCCCCTCTCCCTCTCCCTCCCTCCCCCCGAAATAAATTTAAAAAAAGCTAATGGTTTCGTTTATTATTATTATTATTATTATTACGAACGATCCGGGTCAATGCCGAGATGAAATATTATTTTGGGGAAAAGAAAAGTTTTCGAAAAAAAATATTCAATTACCTATTCGCTTTTCTTTTTCTTTTGTTTTTTTTGGAAAATATGTGTGAAAAAAAAAAAAAGATGAGAGAGGACGAGGAAGAGAAAGGGAAAAGCCCCCCCCCTCCCAAAAAAAAAAAAAAATGGGATGATTTAATTGGTTGGAAAAAAAAAAAAAAAAAATTGACATTTGAACGACGACGACGAGTTTTCACTTTCCCTTTTTTTTTTTTTTTTCTGTTTTTTGTTCCTTTTTGCCTGTTTTTGTTGTTGTTTTCGTATAAAGTTGATGGACAACAAAAAAGGTCAATTAGAACCCTTTTAGCTAAACTCTTTAAAATCATGTTTTTCGTTGGAGAAAGAGAGAGAGAGAGAGAAAATCGATAATAGCTCTCTGATAAAAATCTGGAAATAAATTTAAAAAAAAAACAAACTTGAGGTTCCAGAAAAAATATTGGGGTAGGGCGAGGAGGTGGAAGGGGAGGAAGAAGGGGGAAGAAGAGAAGAGGGGAGGAGGAAGGGGAAAGGGAAGAACATGATCGAAGTATTAATTTTTAATTTTTTGGTTAAATATTGATCGGACGAGTAACATTTGTTTTTTTTTTTTTTATAATAAATAAATGAAAAGAAATTATTATTATTATTACTATTATTATTATTATGACGACGAGATGTTGTGAAAACGTTTTTTTTATAAATTTAATAATTTTTTAAACGTTAATAAA